AAAAGATCTTTCCTTCTAGAATGCAGCTCTAATATTATTGGAGAATCACAGCAAAGTCTTTTTTTTTTAATAGCCTACCACTGTTTTAAAAGCACAGTTCAAATGAAAACCCCGCTAATAAATACACTATGGCAATCTGCCAATCACTGCTGGAGCCCATAGGAGAGCAAGAGAAAGAAAGCATGGAAGACAGCCACAGCATGAGCGGTATTGGCTTTGGGCCAAACCACTGGGAATTTTCTGTGAATTACAATTACATTGTGATCAGATGAATCAAGCTGTGGTCTAGGCACCCCAGAGCACAGGGCCCCCTAAGTTTAGCTGCTCTGGGGTCCTGGATTTTCTTTGGTTTCCCAGACACTTCTACAGCATTTATTTAATCAATTAAAGACAAATGCTGAGTCCAGTGGCTAGACTGGGAGGTTAACACTTCCATCCACACTAGTTTATCTGTGGCACAAAGCCCAAATTATCTTTTGTATGGAAAGTATCCAGGGGGAAGATTATTGCGGCATCCTGTACACGCCCAAAGAAAACAGCACTGCATTTCCAAAAGGCAGCTGCATGAGAACAGCATGTTCCTTCTGAACTACACAGATCGCTAAATAAATATACATTGCCCACAGTAGTCACTGGCAAAAAACCGAGCTCCATTTTCTCCTACATGAATCTCTTGACACTAGAGCTAGCTTCCACTTTCTTAACGGGAAGCCCTTGTTAAAAGTGGCTTAGAGGTACATTACAGCAGTCTTGAAAACTGAAATTAGAGTGGGGAGCAGAGAAAACTGGAAGGAACCCCTCATTTGCCCTGATGCCTAATGACGTGTTTGAGATCTAGGAAGTAGAACCATGGAAGAAAGAATACAGGAAACTTTTTAAAAAACTAATCCCAAATCCCACATTTGGGATAAATAAAAGTAGATCACAATATAAGTGAAGGTAGGAAGAAGCGCAGCCAGACAACAGTTCTCGTAAAAAAAAGATCTGGGGCTTTTAGTGGACCTCAAAATTCAAAGAGTAAACACCGTGACACTGCATGTCCAGAACTGGGGATCAGGGTCAATTGCACTGGGCTCAGGTCAGGGAGAAAATGGCCCAAGGAGGCCATCCCCGCTCCAGAGAAGCTCACATTTTCTTGTCCACATCGGTACTGGCAGGACAGATCCCGAGAATCCCTTTAAAAATAAGGTAATTAGGGGCAGCTAAGTGGTGCAGTGGATAGAGCACCAGCCCTGACGTCAGGAGGACCTGAGTTAAAATCCAACCTCAGACCAAACACTTGAGACTTACTAGCTGTGTGACCCTGGGCAAATCACTTAACCCCAATTACCTAACAAAAAAAAAAGGCAATTAGGTGTGAAAATATGTTTAATAGGAATGTATATACATAGCCTGTATCAGATTGAGGATGGAGGGGGGGAAAAATTTAAAACTCAAAAGCTTATGGAAGTGATTGTTGATAAAATTAATTAATAATAAATAAATAAAATGTTTAAAAATTTAAAAAAACATTTCACAAACCATTTTTAACACTTGAAAAAAAGATAAGGCAATTAGGAAAGGAAAGCAGCAGCAGCTGAGGGGGATGGTGAGGATGAAAGGACAGGAGAGTCATAAGATGACTAACTGAAGGAAAGTGATATTTAGCCTGGAGAGGAAAAGACTTGGGGCATGAATCATCCTCTTCAAGGATTTGAAGGGTGCCTCTGTCCAAGAGGGATTAGCAGACTATTACACTTTGGCCCAGCAGGCCCAGCAGGAGAGAATGTGTGGAAGCTGCAGACATATTTGGGCTCCATTGGCAGAAAAACTTCCTAACTATGAGAACTCTCTGCACACTGCGGCTTGGAGAGGGAGGGAGGGTCTCCAAGCAGGGGCCCTCTGGCTAGGACCTCTCTCCTGGGCTTGGGAACCACTGAGGTCCCTAAATAGTGTAAGATTATTGGGAAAACAGAGCTAATGTCCATAGGCAAATAGTACAGCAGCTAGGTGGTACAGTAGATAGTGCGCTGGGCCTTGAGTCAGGAAGACCTGAGTTCAAATTTGACCTTGGGACACGTACTAGCTGTGTGACCCTGGGCAAGTCACTTAACTCCTTCTGCCTCCATTTCTTTCATCTATCTAATGAGCTGGAGAAGGAAATGGCAAACCATGCTAGTATCTTTGCCAAGAAAACTACATGGAAGTTTTGGCGTGCTATGGCCTACAGGATCACGAAGAGCCCAACACAACACTAACAAGGAGATTCAGCTGCTTCAGTTTTAAATGCTGACCATGGCAGAGGGGACAGTGGACACAGACAGAAGAACTGCTATGTGGCTGATCCAGGAGGAAAAGCCTCATGGAAACAACATCATGGAAAAAAAATCTCAGGGTCTGGAACTGAGAAAGACCCAGGTTTGAATTCCACCCTTGACACAAGCAAGTCACCACTGAAGTCTTGGATTCCTCATCTGCAAAATGCGTCTAAAAGGATCTCTCTCACAGAGTCATTATAAGATTCAAAAGAAATTATGTGAAGTATTTGCAGCTCAGTATAAAAAGTCACCTATTATTACTATTATCATCATCAGGACCCAAGACCATCTAGGGATACCTCCTGCAAAGGACTGTAAGAGATCAAGTTTCTAAGCAGTGATATAGCTCATTATACAGAGCTGACTCTAATGAATGTGTTGATGACAGATGACTTGCTAAAACCTGGCCCTCTTCGCTGTTCCTACTTGAACTGGTTTGCTCCCCAAGGCTTTACCTTTAGCAGCTGCACTTACCATCAGGCCTTTTTTTTTTTTGTCTTTCCTATTTTTGACACACCTGAGATTTAAGCTGCAGTGTCTGTGGATGGGAAGTCTCAAAACCAGCTCACACCTGAAATCCAACGGGGCTTATATTCACTGAAGCTGGCATGGGGAAAATTCTGAGCCATAGAGTAAGGGCTCCCTCCCAAAGTGCTCAGTGTGATTCTGAAGATTTTCAATTTGTCTTAAAGCACAGGCCTAACCATGATGTCTCTCTCTTTGCTCAAGAAACTTCAGTGGCTCACAGCTGCCTGAGCTGATAAAAGGCTGCAGCCTCCTTGCTCCCATTCTCACTGGGTCTGTATGTGTTCCCTCTATTCACATTCCATCTCTCTCCCACTCCCTTCTCCCATCTCCTCTCTACCTCTTGGAATTCCTGGTTTCGGTTCCTTCTCCCAGCTGGAACCCTCTCCCAAACCCCTTTAGTTCTCAGTACTTGCTGCCTCCTCCTCTAAAGATCCTGTCTAGACTACACTGTTTACATGTTTTATCTCCCAGAAGATTACAAGCTCCCTGAGGGCAGGGCTATTTTTTTTTTTTTACTTATAGCTATAGAGTGGGGCACTGTCTAGCACAAAGTACATGCTAATAAATGCTTGTTGGACTGGAAAATAAATAATGTGGTTACATTTTACAGAGGGAAAAATAAGCGGACAGAGAAAATATATGACCAGTATATATTATAGGCTGGACCTGACTCAGATCAGTTCCCTAATAGTTTAGTTTCACTGGTGGGTTATTTAACAGTTAACAAAGGGAGATGATAATAACATTAGCAACAACACATAGCATTTACATAGCAATTTTAAGGTTTGCAAAGTGCTTCACAAACATTATCTCAATTTAACCTCTAATTATCCCCATTTTACATATGAGGAAACTGAGGCAGAGGGCGGTTTAGTGACTTGATCAGGTCAGAGGCCAAATTTAAACTCAGGTCTAGCATGCTGTCCACAGCGCCCCCTAGTGGTTCACCTGGCCATAGCACATCTGTTACCATATGCCAAGCCAAAGTCCTACCCCCAAGTCCTAGTGGCTACTCTGTACTCAAGCTAGGTGGAATTCAGAGCAACAGCCCGAGTCCTCAATTTCCTGAGCTAAGCATACCTTCAGGAATGTCTCAGCACCATTTAGAGAGAACCCCACTCTGCATGGAAGAGGGGTCAGGTTTACAACTACCACACTCCACCCAGAGCTGATCTTCCAGTGGGGCAGCTGGGTGGCACCACAGTGCGTGTAGAGCACCAGGCCTGAACTCAGGAAAGACTCATCTTTCTGAGTTCAAATCCGGCCTCAGATACTTACTAGCTGTGTGATCCTGGGCAAGCCACTTAACCCTTTTTGCCTCACTTTTCTCATTTGTCAAATGAGCCAGAGAAGGAAATGGCAAAACACTACAGTATCTTTGCCAAGAAAACCCCAAATGGGGTTATAAAGAGTCAGACATGACTGTAAAATGACTGAACCCAAGGTCTTCTGGAGGACCTTCCACTACAATGGCTAGTATACCCTGACCTCAGTATTCAAGAATCCTAATACAGACAGAAGAAAAAAGTAAAACAGAAAAAAGGCAAAACAAAATAAACAGCTGAACAATCACTGAAGATGGACTGGCCCTTCCTGACTGCCCAGCCACCTCCAGACATCTCCACAGTGTCCTTCCCTCCCCCCTTTTCACAGCTGTCTTTTGTGGGCATCTTCCCGGTAAGATAGGCAAGCTTGTTGAGGGCAGGAGCTGTCTCTGGCCATTCTTTGTATCTCAGCAGTACCCGACACATAGTAGATGTTTACCAGATGTTTACTATGTGGAGGGAATTCCGATTTTTATAATAATTGACATGATGTGTAATGAATATACTAATAGCTCAGATTTTTCAGAATTGCCTTGTCCAGCTTGAGTCAGACTCACGATACAGCTTAAACTGATCAATCAAACCATGACAATGCTCACAATCACCGGCACCCTTCTGCCTGTGTACCCGAAGTGAAGCGAATCAAAGACTGCACAGCTTGTTCCCATCACCACAGAACTCTGGTCCTGTGACCCCCCCCCCCCAAGGACTCCCGAATTGTACTATCTTCCAATTGTGGGTTTGTCATGGGAAACCACTCTGGCCCTGGGAACAATTGTTTGTGATCCACCTTCCCCCCATTCCCCAAGTTTACAAGTAGTCTGTTGTTCCCCCATTATATTCCTCTCACCTGTTCTCCAGATCTGGCATACTCAGGTTCCTGGTAGCAAAACACATTTTGAGAGGGATGACCTTCCTGTCTTTGGTGCCGTGTTGGTGTTTGGGGGAGCCCGAGTCCTCGCTGCCACTAAAGCTTGGTGACTGGGGGGTAACCCCTTCCCAGGGCAGATCGGATACCAACGACGGCTTCTTGATATATGGGGTCACTTCCCGAATGAACTTGACTATGGACAAAATCAGGATAGAAAAGTAAGTTAGTCCTTTTGCATCTTTTAGAAATGCACAATTGGAAAACAACCATATTCTTAACATAAAATATAAGATAAAATATATCTTATTCTTTATAACAAGTGGAATGTCACTCTCAGGACATGGGAGGAGCCATTTTAAAAATATAAATCTAGGGGAAGAGGGAAGGAAAAAAAGAAAAAAGAAATTTATATGACTTTATTATATATTTAAATGAAGTAGCAGTCATACATAATAGATTTGCAGTTTTATGTGCAATCTTTTTTTATTATACTATGTCATGGAAATGATTGTTTTAGCCCATAAATTAAAAATAAAATAAATAAAAATATAATATAATATTACATATATATATATATATATAACATAAATCTGAGGTTTTGGACTGTTATAAGACGATAGTGTCATCTCACTACATGGGAAACATGCCCTTTGCCTTTATTTCTCACGGAACAGATTGTGCAAAGATGTATGGAGATAACATCTTCATGCCCTAGGAATTAGACAGGTTGAGGAGACTTTATCTCAAATCATATTAAAATAAAAAGCAAACAGCTGGATGCAGTTCAATCAAATTCACAACAATCAATGCCCAATTACTCCACAATGAGCCATAAATGGTGCATCAGCATTCTCTTGTCCCCTCACCCCTAACATTTCTATGAGGCAAAAGATTAGGAAGAGAAGAAGAATCATAAAAAAGATAGGTGTATAAATAATGTACAGTAAATATCAGAAAGATGCCAAATATGTGAATTTTCACCTGCTTCCTTGTTTTCAATGTGTACAGAAACAAAAAAAATTTAAATTAGGACATTTCTACAAATATATATTGCATAATATAAGCCTATCACTTCAAATATGAATATCTGGGGAAGAGGTTGCAAATTTTAGCTGTGGTCAGCCAAAGAACCAAGGTTATTGTTTTATAAGTTACATGACAAGGTCTGCTGAAATTAAACACAATACAGAACAAAGCTGAGGCTGGCAATTTGGGGAGAGCATTGGTGTTTTGTGCTTCCACACATCATGGTTCTTTCTGGGTGGGGAGGGCAAAGGGCTAATTTAACTCCCTCATGGTACCAAAGAGAATCTTTCATCCTCAAAAAATAAGCTAGGGCCCAGTACCCCTAAAAATGGTTTAAATCTAGCTTTGCTCTTGAAGAGGCTGACTCTGGCCTTTCAAGGCCTGTCAGCCTTGTGCTTTCAAGAGGATTCCATTATGAGGACTCTGGCAACAAGAACCAACAGTTTCCAGTTACTGACAAAAGCTGATACATGATTTTTAATGTTCCGGTCATTTCAAACAATTTCTACTGTGAAAGATAGGCCGACTACTATAATTAAGGTTCAAATATCCCCCAGAGACGTCTGGGTCTACTCTGAAAGCCATCTGATCCAAAATACCTTGTTAAGTTGGATACCAAACCCACAACAATCTGAATGAATAACACTGCTTTGGTGGATTCATCAAGAGGCCAACGGCTCCCATGACTTGGCCATGTTCAGACCAGCGGCTAAGGGGACATCTGGCAGCCCTTGTCTGGTGGCAGGGAGCCACATCACACACTGCCGGGGACAAAGCTAAGCCCACCCTTGAGAGACATGAAAGTACAGGGCGATTCTACGGAGCCTCTTCAAGCAATTACAAAAGGTGCTGTTGAGTCATTTTCAGTCTTGTTCAACTCTTCATGACCCCATCTGGGGTTTTCTTGGCAAAGATACTGGAGTGGTTTGCTACTTTCTTCTCTAGCTCATTTTACAGATGAGGAAATTGAGGCAAACAGGGTTAAGTGACTTGTCCAGGGTCATACAGCTTGTAAGTGTCTTCCTGACTCCAGGCCCGGCCGTGTATCCCCAGGACCACCTAGTGACCCTTAGAGAAGGCCTATAGCTATGTTTCTATTGTAAAGGTATAGTTAGGTACCACGCCTGCTAAAAGAACTCGGCCTGGACGCACGGCTAACTCCGGGTCAACAGGACAAAGTCGCCAGCTTTCCCCAACTGCACCACATTTAATTCACAGTATTTAGTTAAATTGCGATGGGGAGGGAAAGGAGATTTTACCAAGGAGAAAAATATACAATATACAATATGTTTCCCCTTAGTAAAATCTCCTCTCCCTCCCCACTACAATTTAACTAAATACTGGAGCTTCGAAAGCATTTTAGGAGTTTTAATGGTAACGTGATTAGATTTCTTTTTTTCCCTTTTTCCAGAAAACTTTTCTTTTGTTGTCCAATACCTACCTCCTCAAATTTCAGCTCTAAAGAATCACTGACAGTAATTACCTGTCCATTCCAGAGAGAGAACAAGCACACAGCAGAGCCTGGCTATAATGATGCCCTTAGGGTCCCTGCCAGGGGACCACCATCATAACACTTCTCTTTAGATCCTTAAATATAATTACAGCCTCCTGGATACATGATAATGAATTCTACTCCACAATGCAAACAAGAATACTGAGGTTTCAGGATATTAATAGTATATCTCAGTTTGGTGAAATATACCAGACGATTCACTTCTCAACCCTGTGTAATATGACTCCCTGAGTCTATTGATGTCTTTAACTTTTTTCTTGTTTATTTTGTGGTTACATTTACCTAGTTCAGAGAGGGGGAGGTTGAGGTGCCCCACTAGTATAGTTTTGCTGTCTATTTCTTCCTGTATCTCCCTTAACTTCTCCTTTAAGAATCTGGCTGTTATACTACTTGGTGAACATATGTTTAGCAATGATATTACTTCATTATCTATGGTGCTTTTTAGCAGGATGTAGTTTCCTTCCTTATCTCTTTTAATTAGATCTATTTTTACTTTCGCTTTGTCTGAGATCAGGATTGCTACCCCTGCTTTTTTTACTTCAGCTGAAGCATGATGTATTCTGCTCCAGTCTTTTCCCGTTACTCTGTGTGTATCCCTCTGCATCAAATGTGTTTCCTGTAGACAACATATTGTAGGATTATGGTTTTTAATCCATTCTGCTATCCACTTCCATTTTATAGGAGAGTTCATCCCCTTCACATTCACAGTTATGACTACTATCTGTGTCTTCCTCTCCCTCCTATTCCCCTCCCCCCTCGTTTATGCTTTTTTCTCTCCTTTTTTCCTTTTCCCTCCTCAGTAGAGTTTTGGTTTCAACCAAAGGGATTTTCCTAAAGAGCAGGCCTAACTCAGGGGTTCTCTACAGCCTCTAGACTCAAATACAGACACCTGAGTTTCGCTTTGGAAGTCCTTCCCAGCCTGGGCCCAATCCACCCTTCCAGGACTTTTGACTTTACTCTCTTTTCACACAAGGCTCCATTCCTGCCAAGCTGGCCCACTCATTCAGCTCAAGTGCCAGCTCTGGAAATGAGGCCTTTTCTTTTACCGTCCTACCCCAGCTGCCTGAGGGAATCACTTAACATTCATTTAAAAGTACTGCGTATTGTTATTTCTCCAGGTAGACTATAAGCTTCCTGAGGTCAGAACTGGTTCATTCTGGCATATCCTTATAATAACTAACATTTATATAGCACCTACTATGTGCCAGGCACTGTGCTAAGTGCTTTATAATTATTATCTCATTTGATCTTCACAACAACCCTGGGAGGTAAGTGCTATTATTATCCCCATTTTACAGATAAGGAAACAGAGGTTAAGTAATTTGTGCAACTAGGAAACGTCTAAGGTCAAATCTGCACTCAGCAGGCCCAGTGCTCTATCCACTATGCCACAGTGGCCTGGCACACAGTAGGCCCTTAATAAATAAATACACTGGCTTTGTTGATTCACCCCAGCTCTGGCATCACTCACAGCAATCAAGAAGCAGAACAAATAAGATGGCTTCTATGGGGAAGTCAGCAATTCCTGTTTTTTCCACTGCTAATCTTGAAATGCAACACGTAACATGCAACTTAAGTTTTCTAAAAGCAGAATGAAAAAGCGAGCCTGAAAAGTCAGAGCCACAAGGAATGGTTTTTATTTGAATGTTGATGGTAACAAGACTCCCCGGAAAGAGAGAACATCACCGAGAGATCTGGTAGACAAGAGGAGAACAACAACCTGGGTCAGAGCTCCAGCACCCTCTCTGGACACTTCCAGAAAGGCCAAAGAAAGGACCTGGAAATTGAGAAACAAACCAGGAGAGAATGGCTCTTTAAGCAAGCCCCAAACACCAGTTACTGAACCTTTCCATTCACTCAGCCAAGGCCCAGGTTTTATCAAACTGGTGGGTAAAATGCCCATTTAGTTTTTCAACTTAAACCCACAACACGCTAAAAATAGTCTTCCTTTCACATCAAGGAAGGACAGAAGGGTAGGCAAAGCTGGACAGAACCTTTGGAGATCTACTACCTTCCCCTCCCTTTATAGATAAGGAAACTAAAAAGGAGGGCACATAGCTTGCTTAAAGTCCTTCAACTTACAGGTGGCAGAGACATCAAAGTGGGCAATAGTTAGATGATGGAAAATAAAGTTTAAATCAGGTTAAGTTACAGCCAGAGGGCAGAATAAGAGATGAGGATTTTTCACATAAATGCTATACAGGAGAGATATCAAACCCAGAGCTGGCAAAACTACTGAGTGAGGCCTAATCAGAATAAAAGGTAATTGGTAAATATTGAACAAAATTAAATAAAAATACAGTACAACACAGATGATGTTAATTTGTGATTTTCTAAGTCAGAATGTGGCCTGCAGGGATTCATTTCTATTAAGAGTTTGACACCACTGCCATACAGGATTAAGAAAACAACAGTAGGGATGGTTTGATCTGAATCTGTCCAAGGGGTAGGGAATCAATTCTGGATGTTAGGTGCTCTACAAGTTCTCCTTGGATGCCTCATTGTGGCATAGAGGTGATCCAGGATCCCTGAAGGCTATATCAAGAGTGGACAAGTTTCACAAGATTCTACCATACTGGAAAGATGAGTATGTTCCTAGCAACAGACCGGTGTGAGGACCAGTCTACATAAGGATGGGGAGGCTCATCACCAGA